GTGGAAGGCTTCTTGGAAAAGGGAAATGACAAAATTGTAATGCAAACTCTGCCATTTTGAATTTACATTGTGATGTTACTCATAAGGAGTAACATAAGAGGCTCAGCTGCATTGTAAAATGAAGTATATTTCAGCTTGTTGCAAACATCCCTAAGCATAGATTGTGTGTTTCTAATGGAATTATATGCTCAAGATTAACAGATTAACAGAATTGGAAGGGACCTTGTAGGTCATCTAGTACAACTCCCCCCGGCTCAAGCAGGAGACCCTACACCATTTCTGATAGATGGCAGTCCAGTCTCTTCTTGAAAGCTTCCAGTGATGAAGCTCCCACAACTTTTGATGATGGGGTAGTAGTAGAATTTGTCCAGAGAAGAGGCAGGCCCAGTTACAACTGACTTTTTCATGTAGCTTGGCCATAGGGCAATGATTATATTTTAATCCAACTGTTCTTTACATTAAACCATGACTCCTTAATTATAAGGAAAGTTCAAGAAACAAGGCAGAGAATGATACCCCCACCCACCCAAAAAATGTTTCTCAATTAAATATTGGCAGCAAAATAGCTAAAGTGTGGTGGCATCAGTTTGCACATTTTTGGAAACAGAGAAATGATGAAGGATGAAAATGGGGTCACTTTGCTTCTTGGGCCTATTGTTCTCATTTCTATCCTGGCCTTTTGGAATTGAGCAGCTGGAAATGGGATGTTGTGGGTTGCCATGATTTCTTTTCAGGTACAAGAAATCAAATAATGACACAGAACAGTAAACAATAGTACACAGCATTGGCTTTTTAAAAATATTTCATTTAAATGTTCTATATTATTTTAATGTAGCTGTTTTAAGGCATCAGTTAAATATTATGAAAAAAAAGAATGTTTTAAATTCTTGGTATAACTGTGTTTTCTTTACTGAATGATATTGACTTCATTGAGAATAAGACACACATTATAGTCATAAATGTCTTTGGCCACTGGGTGCCACTCTTCTTCCTTGCCAATCATTCCTTTACAGTAGTAAAAGACCAGCAGGAACATGGAAGGATCCCACTCCAAGAATCATTCAGAAGCTGGTTCATGTGGAACTGTCCTTTTGATTTATGTCTAAAGTTGTTAGCACAATGGTACATTTAGTGTTTTCCTCCAGTATTTGTTCAGTATCACTGTGTGATGCAAATACAACATCAGAGTAACATCTGAATTCTTCAGCATACAAAGCAGTGAAGTCTGATATGATTTTTCCTAAACGCAGGGCAGCTGCCTTACTGCAACAATTCCTTCTGAAAGAAAGTTAGCACCCACTTAGAAGAATGAAATATTCTAGGAAATATTAAAAAGGTGGAATATTACACTTCCCTGGATGAGAAAAGGAGAAACATGCTCTTGGAAAGCGGCCCCCATCTTTGTTAATAGACAAAAGGCTGGGCCAGCTTATCTACAAAACAAAAGACCTTCACCCTCAGGACATAATAGGATTAACTCTCTACCTATCTCGCCCCATGGCACCTGGGAAGATTGCATCACTCAGCAAGATTCAACCAAGCCTGGGACTCAAGACAGCCTACAAAGTTACTTCTGCATGGCCCCATGGGAGTCTTACAAGCCCTTGCCACGGGATCAGGAGGAAAGTTCAAAGTCCAAGAGAGGGTATAAATCTCTCTCTGAAAAAAGAAATCAGGTATAAAAGACTTGCAAGTACAAATAATTATAATAAGGTTACTGAAATGTATTCAACAAAACTTTCACCAGTATATTGTGAAACTAACTTTTAAAAGCTAATGCTGAATCTTAATTTCTACTTCAACTTTATGATAGGGAGCTTGTTTCTCTCTGCAGACCAAGTCTAAGTCTTTCAGTTGTATAATGCTCTCTCTCTCTCTCTCTCTCTCTGTGTGTGTGTGTGTGTGTCCCTCCCCCCCTCCCCCCCAGTTAGAACTGAACTCAGATGGACATTTCCTCCATCATTTCCAAACAATAATGCTTATAGTTAGTGGTTTAGCTTTGCTTTTATCTTCTAGCATCCCTGCCTCCCAATTTGGTTCATCCATTTCAGGTCTAACTTGAAATTGCAATCCCTCTGATACTCCCTAGTATTGATCTAAATGCCTGATACATAATGCTAAGCGTGGCCTGTTTTACACATAATGCTAAGTGATATACCATGGTAAATAAACTTTTGCTTTGTTTTGTTTGCACATCCCACAAAATCAAAAATAAACCACGTTATGGTTTAGTACAATAAGTAAGCCAAATATATCTGGCTGGACTTGTGCTTAATTGTGGAGAAATGTAACATAATTTTTACCCCATAATTTTATTAAACCTAAATCCAATCTAATACTTGTTTCCCTTAGGAATGTTTTTCTATATGTGTTTCATAACTCTCAAATTCCATTCCAGTGCCAGTGATGGGATTCTACTGCTTCGGCCCAGTTCAAACGAATCGGTAGTAAAAAAAAACACCCAGCTATTTCTTTCTTTTTCCTCCTGACCATCAGCTGTTCTGATGATCAGTTGTGCTGGGATCCCCCTCACTGTCTTACTGCTTCACCCAGGAGGCTTCCCTGAGGCTCAGGAAGCAAAAAAAGGGGGGGATGTATGTGTGTGGGTGCTGCACAGCCCCCCCCCTTGCACTCCGTTTTTTGCCTTCCTGGGCCTCAGCGCAGCCTCCTGGAAGCAAAAACACACCCCAGGAGGCTTCCCTGAGGCCCAGGAGGTCAAAAATGGGGTGCGAGTGGGCAGGGAAGCCATGCCACCCAGTCACATGGCCATGCCTATCTATCCACTCCCACCTAGCCACGCCCACAGAACTGGTAGTAAAAATATTTGCATCCCACCCCTGTCCAGTGCCATTGTGAATCGCTCTGTAACTGGGATGGTCTCTAAATACTGCATCTAAAACATGCTTTTAAAAAAATGAGACATGCTACAGTACCAAGGCAATACATTTGCAGGCAACCTTTGTAGCTCTGCATGGAATTTTTCCAGAGTGCTATTTGTGACAGTATTTCATATTGTAAGCTTTTCATGCTGAGGAGTGGTTCCTGTAATAAGGTGTGATGAGCCTCCCACTAATCACATGATGCTGTAACGAGGGCTTGCAATGATGAGCAATTTGATGAGTATATTCCAAGGCCATATTCAGAAATGGCAACATATCACTGCTCTGTGACTGAAGGGACAATCTGTGCTCTCGTTCTGCTTCCCAGTCCCTCACTTCCCCTCCTAGCAGCATGCCTGAATGATTAGGAAAAGAATTTATTGTGCAGCGTTAGATATTTGGATGCCCATGTAAGTTTGCCAACAGGGACTGCTGGATGTATTTTAATGCATTCGTTGATATTTTTAACTGGTTTATGTCCTCCTTTTAAAGTACTATTGCATTTTTAATACAAAACATAGTAAACATAGTAAAATATTCGCAAATGTATGCGCAGAAAGAGTACAAGACAGGCAGAATGCTCATGATTTCTATGGGGAACATAAGCAGGTGTTTCTTTTCTTGTCCTCCTTCCCTCCCTCCCCCCTCTCTTTTTCTCTCTTTAAGACATAAACCTGATAAAAACTGAGAAGTGGGATGAAATGCTCTTTCGTTGACTGGTTTGATAGGATAGCAAATAAGCACCAACTGACTGACAATTCTCTGTGCCCTGCCTTAGTAGAGAAATGAAGCAACGATTGGCGGATGCTTTTCTGCAAGATCAAGACTTGCAGATAACATGGATTCAAGGCATCTTAATGCTTGAAGAGATCTACAGTTATGCACAACGATTCAGGTCAGTCAGTGCATTTTAAGCTAGTTTTAAATGGATCATGAAATAACCCAAAAAAACCTAATAATCAGAAAGAATCTTTACTTCTCATTCAGTACCCAGTTCCCAACCAAGAAATGCAGAAATATCCTTATTGTAGTGTAAAAGGGCAATGCCTTTATTAAACTCTTGAAAACACCCTAGCTTTCAAGATGAGAAAGTAACAATATTAAAAACATTTATTGTATTTAATTATTTTATGTTTTCATATTTGTTCCTAAAGGGTTAAATTAATGGAAGGATGGCAGACAATGTTTCTAGAATCTACACTAATAAAACAGATGGTGGCACTTATCATTGATGATGTCACAGAGAACCTCACATACATGTCACAGACACGGTCACCTCATGGATCATGTTCCATAAAACAAACACAAGAATATGATCATGCCTTGCACCACAGTAAGAACTGTGTATTCATTATATGACAAGAATAATCCTTCAAAGGTATAGAGAATGGGGTAATGATTTTCCATAAATTATTTTTTAAAAAAAAACAGTTTGGTGTAGTAGTGAAGGCACCAGTCTAGAAACTGGGAGACTGTGAGTTCCAGTCCCACTTTAGGCATGAAAATTGGCAGTATAAATTTGGGCCAGTTATTTTTTTCTTGGTCCAACCTATTTCACAGGGTTGTTGTAAGGAAACTAGGAAGACATATTAGGTATATTTGTCACCTTATTTATAAAAAATAATATAGGCAGGATAAAAATAAATAAATATAAATAAATACACAGTCATCTATCTAGCAATCAACAATATATCTAACAATTATCAAGCCATAAGGAATGACTCTTGCACAAGTTTTCAGCATTCAGAAATTCAGATAATCTGATTAGGCACTTCACTGCCTTTTGTGCCACGTGAGATGTTGCTCCCACAACTTCATACATTAATCATTCTTTTTGGGCAGCTTGTGAGAGAAAAACATGTTTGTGCTGGCTTTATTGTTTGGTGCTTCCCTGTAACCGAAAACTTTAAAAATGTACGTGGGTGACTGGCTCTGAAAAGAGACATTTGTCAGGCATGCAGAGTGTTAATGAATTATAACATTTCAAGCTGGAGCCACAGGGCCACTTGGCTTTGCCTCACAAGCATTTTGGTGTCACTCAAATTGCTCATGTGACAGCATTCGACATGAAAGGAGACAATAGGCATTGTGGAATGCACATATTATAAAATAAAAGAGACACAGTGTGGGCAAACAAAGGCTGCTTCCTGGAACACTGTGTCACAAGATTCCCAGGGCTATAGCCTTCTTGTCTCGGTCACATGGCAGGTGCACGGAACTCAGTGTACGGCTCTCTGTAGGGGATGTACCATATCAGACTAATTCCTTGGTTCGACCTGGTTGGTTCTTGCCAGGCTGGGACTGATAGACATCAGAGCTCAGCTGAAAAGTTCCATTGTGTAGTTTTCCCCTGTTTATAAACCGGTAGGGAATGAGCTCCCTAGAAGAGCTCATCCCAACGTAATGTATGCAAAACACCAAAATATATAGACACACCAGGATGTTTTCTCATGCCTAGTGATCACCCTACAAAGGTAAAAGGACTGCCAGAAGAGATATACTTTGGAGGCAGAATCAGCACATAGCATGGAAGGAAGAAAGGAGCTGAATGTTTATGCACATATGTATATAAGAAGGGAATGGTGTTTTCTCTTTAGTTTTGCTGATAGGAAGCTCAGGAAAAAGGCGACATGATGCATGTATAAAAGGAAGAGGGCCTGCATATGGATAGTTAGACACACCCTATTTAAAAGAGTACATGGTAAAATTCCCTCTTCTTTGTACCAATTAAAGGGATGATGGAGCTCTATCCTCTTTTGCATACAGCCCTGTCTCTCTTGTCTTTTTAGGTCTTCTCTGTTTGTGGATGCAGAAAAAGTGTTTGGATTCCTCATCTGGAATAAGTAGTTTGATGGTGGGTTTCTCTTTTCACATTTGAGCTTTTAAGTACTACATTTTATATTAGAGCTATTTCTTTAAAGTTGGCTAAATATGAAGAAAAAATCAAGTCATTGTTTTCTTTCAAACATTGTGACATTATATATATTCATCCCCTTCACAGAAAGAAAGAGAGCATAATTTTTACTTTCCTTTCTGCCAGATCTCCAATGAGTTGAGCACAAAAAGACAAGATGTATTTAACCTTTCTTTTCAGCCACTTGAATCTAGGACTGTGCTTTGCTACATAGTGGGAGTAATCAATGCAATTTAAGATTTTGGAATATCAAGAATAACATTGTTTTTAAAGGATTTGATTACATTCAGTGTTACAGTATTATTGTTTACATGTTGTTTTTGATTGGAGCTGCCCAGAGTTGGTTATAAGATGACTATATAAATATTTTAAATAAATAAAATAAATAAAAACTATACATAATGTTGATAATTTTTGATCTATATGCCACATTTCTGTCCCACAACCAGTTACATAAGATTATGGGACAGCACAGTTAGCAATGTGTACAACTTGAAGCAATGGGAAAACTTTAGATTTTTTTTTAGCTAAAATAAGAAATGCATATCTAAAATATTTCTGGCATTAGGTTGTTTTGGCTATTCCAACATAAATTGTTGTTCAGTTTATAAAAGGTCCTTATGATACCCATTTCTAAGACTATTAAATCACCAGTTGTAATTTTAATCTTTTCTTACTTTTTATTCATTTTAAAACCTTTACATTTGCTTTTATGTTTTATTGTAAATCACTCTGACATCTCAGAGTCTGCAAATGAATACATGGATGAATGAGTCTCTCTAATTGGCAGATTTTCCTGTGCATAAATCTTCTCAGCTCTGCACTGGGCCAGTCTCAGCTGTAGATGACTGCAATCTTGCTCAGCTGAGATGTGACTGACTGTCACTGGTTTGGTGAGCTTTCATTTACACAGCCCTTGAATTTGAACAGGCCATTCTGTTCATAGAATGAGAAAAGGAACCATTCAGACCAGGGGTGGGATTCTACTGGTTCTGACCGGTTCGGGTGAACTGGATGTTAAATTTGCATCTGGTTTGCCAAACCAGTATTTGAACCGACTAGCTGGCCCAGTCCATCCCTCCCCTCCCAGGAGTCTCCTCGTGGCCCATTTTTGATACAGGTAAGTGCAGGGTCTGTGCAGAGGCTCTGGGAGAGGGAAAAAATGACCTTCTGGAACTCTAGAAATGGGCCTGTTTCCAGCTTCTGGAGGGCCTCCAGAGCCTGGGGGAGGCCATTTTAGCCCTCCCAGAGGCCTAAGAGAAGCCTCTGAACCCTTGGGAAGGAGAAAAACGGTCCTCCCGGAAGTTCCAATAGGCCACACCCACCGTGGCCATGCCCACCCAGCAACTGGGCAGAGAACTGGTTGCTGAGATTTTTGATTCCCACCTCTGATTCAGACTTAAGTCTTGTATTTTAATGTTACTAAAATCTAAGGCATTGCTCCTAATTAGATCACTTTCTACCATGATTTAGTCTGCTTTGGGTGGTTCTTAATAGAAAAAAAGGAAAAGGAAAGTGGGTAACTCAGAGAAAGATACAAAAAGCAGAATAACAGAGTCGGAAGAGACTTTGGAGATCTTTACCCACCCACCCCTGCTCAAGCAGGAGACCCTATCCCATTTCAAACAAATGGTGGTGCAGTTTCTTTTTAAAAGCCTCTAGTGATGAAGCACCCATAACTTCTGAAGGCAAACCTTTCCACTGGTTAATTATTTCACTGTTAGGAATTTTCTCCTTCGTCCTAGGTATTCTTGATTAGTTTCCATCCATTGCTTCTTGCCCTGCCTTGCCCTGATTTCAGGCACTTTGGAGAATAGATTGACCCCCTCTTCTTTGTGGCAGCCTCTCAAATATTGGAACATGACTATCATGTTGCCCGGAGTCCTCTTTTTCACTAGATTAGATATACTCAATTCCAGCAACCGTTCTTCATGTTTTAGCCTCCAGCTCCATAATCATCTTTGTTGCTCCACTGTGCACTCTTTCCAGAGTCTCAGCATCTTTTTATATTGTGGTGACCAAAACAGTATTCCAAGTATGGTTTTACCAAGGCCTTAAAAAGTGTACTAACAGTTCATGTGATCTTGATTCTATCTCTATGTTAATGCAATCTAGGACTGCATTGTCGTTTTTGGTGGCTGCAGCACAGTGCCGGCTCATATGTAAGTGACTGTCCATTTACAATTTCAAGATCCTTCTCCCAGTTACTGCTATTGAGCTAAGTTTCAAAATTGTCAACTAGGTTAGTTAGAAACCTGTTCAATATCCCACTTGTCCAGAGTTTTTGTCCCAGTTGATGTCAGGGTAGTTAAAGTCCCTCATTACTACTGTGGTGTGTTTTCTACATATTTGAAGTAATTAACAAAAATCCATTACTTGGTTGGATGGTCTGTAGTATACATATATGGCAATGCCATTCTTTTTTTCCTTTTATATTATCTATATGTGTTGTAAGAGGCTTTTGTCCTTAGTTTTATGCATTTCTTAATAAAAGTGTAGTGATCTCTTACTTATAATGCAACTCCACCTTCTATTTTGTTCGGTCTGTTACTTTTGAACAGTTTGAATTTTTCCATCAGTACGTTCCAAATATTAGGTACATTCCAAATATTACAAGGTTTTAAATTGCTCACATTCTGCATCCATTGTCAAGCAAATGTGATAACCACTACAAGGCTAAAATATTCATGGAGCAGTATTTGCAGCATAAACTATTGGGTCAAAACTGGGGAAATGCAAGAGGGAGTTTTTTAAAAAAAATATTTTAAATCTGTTTGTTGTACCTACATATATATGCTTTTTGATATATTAAATACACACATGCATACTTTGTATACACCTTTGTGTACCTATAAACAATTGGCAATTCTTTCCTCATTCAGAGACTTATGCAGGTATGTTATCAGGGCAATTGTCTGTCAGGGCACCAACAATGCAGCCCGGGGTGAAATTCAAAATTTTCCCCTACCGGCTCTGTGGATGTGGCTGTGGACATAGCTTGGTATACTTGGTATAATAGTAATAGCAACCGGGGCTATTTTTTACCAATTCATATTGTCCCTACCACCTCTCCCGAGTTGGGCTAAGGTGGTTGAATTTCACCCCTGATTTGCAGCCTATCAGCTTTACAACTTAGACCAGGCAAGGAACTTGACTAGACGAGCTAATTCTACTTTATTGCATTAACAGAAACTTGCAAGTCTGAATGTACTTCTTCCCACCACCTCTTTAGAGAGGGGATTTTTTTTCCACTGAGCGTCTTGCTCCAGCCACATTCTTGCTTTGTGCTAAGCTGCCTTTTATCTCACCATTCCCTCATTGCCCTGTCTTTCAAGGTCATTTCTCTACTTTTGACAGGTTCTTGCTAAAAAATTCCAATCCAGACAGATTTTTCTTAAACCGGCTTAGAATTTTACCACCATCAGCATGGGACAGGAGAATCTTAAGAATGCAGCGTGGAATGGGCCCTGTGTCTATCCATCTTTCTATTTCTGCAAGAAAAAGTAGCTGTAGTACATTTTTCATATTCTGGAAGATCAAGCCTATCATAGACACTTTCTCATGTCTCTTTCAATGACTTCATTTTATTGGCAGCAGTATGGAAATGGTTCACTGTTGCTTTTTTAATGGGATGTGTTTTGATTTATTATTTTAGCCTACAGGCCTGATACTCCCTGAAGGTTTCTCATGCAAAGACTAACCAGGTCTGACCATGCTTAGTTTCTGAGCGTGGACAAGGTGAACCAGTTGCTTCTACCTCGGACTGAAAGGTAGGGGAGACTTTTTAAAAAAAATATCTGAGAAAAACAAATTGCTTTGAAATTAGGTTTCCAGGTTCAAATATTAGTATGAAAAAGAAGAGAACCAGTATGTCATAGCCATCATTTTATCTTTAAACAAAAACAAAAAACAAAAAATAGGCCTTGCCTAGAGATAAGAATTTTGGAACATGCTGTATTTATAGCCTCTTTAAAAGGCTGCTAACATACTCCTTTTTATGTCAAATATATGATGGAGCTCCTTTGAATAAAGAGTGCAATTGAAGCAAAAAAGCAGATTGGACTTTTCTTTAAGAAAATGGGAATGTAGAAATTTGATAAGTACAGAGAAATAATGTGATTGTAGTTACCTTTTCCTTCTTAACATGGAATGAAAATCACCTAATACCTAAAGAGATAAAAAGAATGTTATATTCTTCATCTATAGGTAAAGTTGTAATTGCTGATATACACTTTTTCGTATCTACTATTATAATCACCACCATCATTATTATTATTCTGTCAGTTGGAAATCTTAACCCGACAGCACTGAATTTTACCCTGCACAATTTCAGTGACAACTGCTGGTGCTATTTATAGCTAAACAGTATATTTATATGTAAGTATACTGTTTGTGTGACAAATCAGTACTAAATGAACTGGATTAGAGAAGCCTGGGCTTCTAACAGGCAGGAAAGTGAGTGTGCTCATGGCACAAACCTATTCATATAAGCTACCTATTTAGCATCTTGGCATAATTCTAAGATCCTATGATCTGCATAGGAGTAGCCAAGAATGCTGGCAAATGCCATCAGAGTGGGGAGATGTTAATGATAATGAAGACAAGGCAGGAAGAAGGCAACAACAGCTTTGCTTAAAGCACTCAAAATAGGTTTCCAGAGAGACAGAACGGTGGGAGGAGGTTACTATAGCTTATTGCCCTTCTGGCACAATGTGAGCGTATCAAAATAGAACCAGATTTCTGAAACATGGATTTTCTTCATTCAAACATGGCCCTTTGTTCAACTTGCTGTTTCATTTAATGTCTTGAAGCAAAATCTACTATCATTTTAATTAGGTAGATTTTTTTTAAAAAAAACTGACAAACATAAAGCTGAAAAGAATGGTCAGGAGAGGGTGGAAGAATGCTCTTGGAAAGGTTAGATGTAGAACCTTTTGCTACCATATTAAAGTAAAACTTTTCACTGTCATCTCTGAAAATTTATGTTTTCCCATTAAGGATGTAGCCCCTTCTATCAATGAGGAATTGTATGGAGATTCTGTATATGACTTTGACAAACAGAGAGGGTTTCAAGACTACCCTTACAATTAAATAAAATGAGACAGTCACCTCTGGTAGATTTGAATTATCATGAGAATTGTTAAGCCATTTCTTTGTTATCATTTTCAGGGAGAATAATAATGGCTTATTATTAGGTAATTGAGCAACAGTTCAGTTATTTCAGGTAGCAAAATGTCTTTATTCATGGATACAGAATTTCCATTACCTTAAGGACAAAAACAAACTTTGTGTACAATATCAAGGCCGCAATCGGAAAGTATCTGGGGCTAGACCCATTTCTATTTGATTGGTTGATTATGTGCCAGCAAGTTGTTGTCAACTTGTAGGGACACATAGATAGCCTTTTGTCCATGATAATCTCTCCCTAACCTGTTCTATCAGGTCTTCCAATGCCACTAAACTGAGTCTTGCTGCTCATCTTCCTCTTCTCTTTCCTTCCACCTTTCCCAGAATTAGAGTCTTCTCCATAAAGCTTGGTCATTGCATAATGTAACTGGTTTGAATGGGTATAAGTTCTATACCATATTTCCTACCTGATCACAGTCAATATGTGATGTAATTCCATCTGATATAATTCCTGTATTCATAAGATAAAATTTTGCCTCTTTATATTCAGAGAAACTCTGATAGAAGGTCAGAAATTTTAAGAGGTGAAATGAAGGCTTCAACCTTCTGCAAGACTTCATTTTGTCTCTTGTACACCCTATCAGAATTAAAATGCAATCTAGAAAAAGAAGAAATCAAATGCAGCCCTATGCAGTCCCATTTTTGGACCCAAAGATTCTAGGGATCTTGGATGTACAGAGGCAAATTGAAGTCTTTTTGGACAGGTGAGATAAATTATTTTTTTGTTTTAACATTTAAAATTGGGCTAGGTAAAATATTTCTGAGCTATAAGCAGTATTACAGAGGTAATGAGTTGCCCATTGTCTAGATCAGCAGGTTTGGAAAACTAGTTTGAATGCATTTTAAAGAAACTATAAGGCTTGGGAACATTTCTAGAAAGTCATTTTTTTCCTTGCAATCTTGATAAAAATTTGCCTTTTACCTTTGACATTCTTCCAAGAACAATGCAGGCAATGCCTGGACCTCACACATGAAAACAACAAACACTTGCTATAGTAAGATACAACCAAAATGTTAAGTTAAACCTCAGACCGACAAAGGACTGGTTCCTACACGAGTTCTACAAACACCAAAAAGAGTTTTGGCAATTTAAGAACTAATGGAGACTTCTTTCACCTCATGCTCTCCAGATATTTCAGAATTCACTTGCATCACAGGTATGATAAATGAGAACATAGCAGGGCATGATTGTGTATCAATCTAAGATTTGGTCTGCTGTTTCTTATTGATACATATATCACCATTAACTGGGTTCAGTAGTGGGATTCAAAAAAATTTACTACCAGTTCTGTGGGCATAGCTTGGTGAGCGTGGCTTGGTGGGCGTGGCAGGGGAAGGATACTGTAAAATCTCCATTCTGCCCCCTCCCCACTCCTGGGGGAAGGTTACTGCAAAATCCTATTCCCTCCCGACCCCACTAACCTCCTCCCAGCTCCATTCTCCTGTGCAGGGCAAAAAAAGAAGACCCAGCCAATCAGCTGGGACTTGGGAGGCAGAGAATAGATGGGGCAGGGCCAGTCAGAGGTGGTATTTGCCAGTTCTCCAAACTACTCAAAATTTCCGCTACCAATTCTCCAGAACTGGTCAGAACCTGATGAATACCACCTCTGACTGGGTTCCCATCTAATGTTAGGCCACTCACAAGCTTAAATAACCATAACACCTGCTTATAAAAGCACAAGTTGAAACTCACAGAGACTGCCGTCATACAGCATGCTGATTGAAAAACAAATAATCCTTGTATTTGAGTGCAATCTTCTATGAATGTATCATTACCATCACACCCACATGCAATGCCTGGCTGCTCTAAAGAGAAGGATCAGTTGCTTGAATCAGAAAGGAGAGCAGGGAATTTCGAATCAGAGAACTAGCAGAGCCTGGAAGTTCCTCCGTAGCCAAGGCTATCCCATGACAGATGGAAAATTGCTCATAAAATTGAGCCTGCTACCTGTTCCTGAGGCCTTTATACTGCCAGTTGGTTTCCACTAACAGGAAAACTTTCCGAAAATTTAGACAAAGATTTCTAAGCTAAAGCTTGTTTTGTTTTCTGTGAAATCGAGTGTAGGGTTTTTTTGGTTTGTTTTTTGCTGGGGTTTAGTTTTTTTAGGGACAGCTTTTCAAATATAACTCCTTAATATTGTTTCCTCCAGAAGTAAAATACTGAATTCCTTCTTCCACATTATCCTAGATTTTTGTGTGATAATAGGCTGTGATCCTATTTGTATTGGAGGCTTCTGACCTGCAATAGATTAAGTAACCCGATCGCAGGGGATTTTTTTTTTTTTTTTGCTGTGAGGGGGTTAATAAAATATTTATTGTAGTGACCTGCAGTTTGGAATGAAAACCTGTAGGCAACATCCCACCAGAAAATATTTATTTACCCCCAAAAGTGTATAAGGTAGCTCCCTGCCACAAGAAGCTTAAAATAACATTTAAAAAAAACTTCTATTACACTTTGCAGGCTAAGTTTATTTTAAGCTTGAGGTATTCTAAGCAAATGTATTTTTTCTAAGCAATTTGTCACCATAAATAACAGAGGTGCAAAAAAAAATGTACAGTAGCTTAACTATGGTGTGTGAATTTGCTTACTGTTCCTGGCACTTATGAAACAGGGCACTTCTCTGTTTCTCAGCTCACTTTTGCAAAATTGAGGGTGTTTTCACACTCTTATGATTAAGTTTCACAACTTACCTTACATGTATATTATTTGTAGAAATAGAAACAGCCATGCAGACAAACATTTTTCTCCTGCAACTGTTGTTAACCTGGATGATCAATGCGACCTTAAAAAGTAAGTAGCAGTGCTCTGGTTTAGTCACAAATATTCCCTTTCTTTTTATTTAAAGAATTCAAGGTCTACTTTCCCCATATGGTCTTCCTGTAGATTTCTGGACTGCCATAAGTTGATGGTGGCTGGAATTTCTGAGGAAAGCAGTCTTGAGACATAGGAAGCTGCCTACTTACTGTATTTTTGAAAAACTGTTGTTGAGTTCTAAAATGACTCCAGAAATATATTATTTCAGGATGTGTAAATATAAGATTCCACTTCAGTGTAGGTTTTCAAAATTTCAATTAAGAGTTGATCTATAAATTTAGTCTGAATAGCTGAATCCCCTTTGAATTATAGCATTAAATTGTCCTAGAAAGCACCAGAATCTCATCAAATTTCTGAACTGCTTTTGAATCTCTATGAAGGCATATGATGAGACACAAATTATTCAGTGCCCTGAATCAATTCACAGAATTAATTTATGGAGGTGATTCAACACAATCTCCTTCAAACTGAATTATCTGTTCAAAGTTTTGAGCATCCCAATTCCATATTCTGAAATTCTAGTCCAGCCTCATCTGTTATATGCTGAGTATAAGAACATTATTTTTCATGCAAGAACATTCAGTTGCATGTATTCCAAATTGTACCATAATCTGCAGAAAAAGAAGACAATTCCAAGGGTAAAACGTGTTTAGCATTGGAGTGGGTAGTAATGAGAAATTCACATCACACTTTAAGTAAGTACTAGATGGCACCACTCAAATCATCTCGTTAATCTTAAGAACCTTATAAAACACATTAAAATGTGATTGTAGCACAGTGGATTTTTTTTTATAACATGGTCTTCCCAACACTCTCATAATTTATTCCAAATGCCTTTGTTAAAATGGAGTGATTCATCTATTAACATTCCTAGGTTGAGCCAAAGATGGCCCTTATGTCTGTTTTTTAAAAGATATCCAATAAAGATAAAGTTTTGCACAGAATTTCCCCTTTGTGTATTATCATTTCTCAACTGGACAAAAATTATGCTGCTTTCATTCTCTATGCTAAGATTTCATTCCTTAGCATCTGGCAGGCACATGGAATTTGGTAGCTTTTTAGGTTTAAATATTTCATTATAAAATCATCTACTTTAGCTTTAGATTATTTCCATGAAATAGTAACGAAATTCTTTTTTTCTCCAGTTTCTAATTATTGGAAAATGAAAATGTATTAATATACTGGTAAATATATCACGTTATATTGCATTGTGCATCTGACAGAACTCATAGTGCAATGCATTGTCTGTTTGCTGTATTTATTTAAAACTATTTTACATATTCAATTTCTATAGCAGCCCATCTCAGTCAATGACTTTTTCACTGTTAGCAAGTTTTTGTTACTTGCTTTTAAGAATGTTACATGAAATGTGAACATTCAGACCTTAGTATGTACAGGAAAGGTTTCAATGATGAACGGATAGTGAGTTCCTTATTTATTCTTTTTATCAAGGGCATAGAGTCTCTTTTCATGTAACAATTTCCAGAGGGGAAACCTGTTATTTGTTAGAGCAGAAATAGCCATTGTGAAGTAAGTGAAAGAGTGTCTTGTGGGGCTGAAGTAACCTGTTAGTAATTTGGGGAGAGCGCCATATTTTTTCACAGATATGTGCCCAGGTATTTTTGGACAAAGAACTTGTGGTTTCTTCTTTTTCCTGTAACCATAATGAATCTCTTGGCAGAATTTCAAGGGCAGGACAACAGAGAGAAACTGATTCTTTTGGGGGGGGAACTAAAACAAACGATTAGAGTTTGTCATTGTTAAGGATAAGGTTCTTTGGGGTAAAAAACAACAACAGTTTCTTCAGGAAATTCATTTTCAAGGCATTTCAATCCTGTTCTGAATAATGAAAGTAACTTCCATCATCTTAATGGAATTTCTCTGCCTATTAATCAATAGTTCTCTGCCCACCTTTTGTTGGATTTAAACTAAATCAATCTTCAATCAAAACCAGAGCATTTATTCCCTCCCCGCACTTCTCCTTTAAATTTTTGTCCCTATTATTAACCCTGTGAGGTAGTCCAGACAAGAAACACAACCGGAAGCCCTAGCTGTAACTTTATTGTAAGATTACATTTACAGATTCTTGCAAGATTGAAAAGATCTCACCCCCTCCTCTCTTTTTACTCTATAGGAAACTAGAGTCCCTTCTGAAATGTTTCCCACATCATCTTCTTTCTAACCACTCAGTGAGCTAAGATACTTTTTGCACACTGGCTTTCCTGACTATGGTTTGCCCTCCTGTCTCTCAAGGTGATTCCCATTATTTCACCCAGATCAGTAAGTTTTTTTTTTTCACATTCTTACAGTTCAATTGTTGTTTTTGTCAGATATCCATTTATGTGGCATACCTTTTAGAACATTTTGTATGATTATAACTTCTGAATTTTGAATGACTTTAGGATTGGACTTTGGAACTAAATGTTTTAGTTGAATATTAAAAATTGAATAAATGAGCGGCATGGTGGCCGTGTGGTGAAGATCCTCACCTCCCACTCGAAAGGCTGAGAATTCAATCCTAGCCAGTGGCAGATGTTACTCTCCTAGGGCACAGAGAAAAAAAATTACTGTGCACTCCACATGGAATCAAGGACGGCATACGGCCAGTAAGCGCTTAGTCACTACAACTCTTGCCTGAATTAAGAGATTATAGAATCATAAAAAAGTTATTAAAAATTAAATAAATGTCATAATTCTCTCAAATAAGCAAAAGCAAGCCCCGCTTTCCCCTTATATCTTATTTTCACAGAATCCAGAATGATTTGGACTACCAGTTACTAGAGTAGAAAGATTTGCTATATTTTGTACATCCAAAAAAATCCATGCAAAGAGCTTCTTGATAGCAACTCCATACACTTCTACCTATATGGTCACATTAATATAAAGCACTGTAGCAATACAATCTCCACATACTTCATTCAGAGTTTAATATCCACTGTTGCTTCTAATGCAGCCTCCAGACAAAATAGGCCCTTCAGGATGGGTTTAATGTTTTGGAGTAAATGTACATGCTAAGCTGTGAGATGTTTAAAAGTAACATGCATCATGCTTCATATTTCAAAATGTGATTCATCAACTCTGTTTGCTCATGTTGCTGAATGATACTCAGGTTGTATGCCCCCAAATTCTACCCTCACAACTTCATTGGATTCAGAAGAGTCCAAGCTGGGAAATATTGCTTTTGATACACCTGACAAATTGCAGGAATTGCTGGGAGGCAGTGCTGTAAACAGCCAAGAGGGAAGTTAGTCTCAAGAAAAACCTAGCAGACATCTGAGGCTGATGAAGCTGGTGAATGTGCAAAGCAGCTGGCAGCATCAGGCAATGAAAAGATAGCTCCAGAACCTTCTTCCAGCCTTAGAGCACATTACAGAACACCAAGCAGTGCAAAGCATTCCCACCCTTGATTGCCTAAACCTGCAATAGGTACTGTTACTATTCAAGAGCAACCCTCCATTGGAAACAACCATTCTGCTTGCCAGATCTCTGTGCATTTGTCTCCTGAACTCATCGCCTAAGAAAACTCTATTCTTTGGAACCCAAATTGGCTGACAACCTACATTTGGGCTCTTTGAATTGTGATCCAATTATCTTTGTGAGTTCCCAACTTGGATTCTTACTTTTGGGACCTTTGAGGCATGTTCCCTAGGAAATGGTGGTACTTGAACACACAGCTTGTTTATTTTTGCTTGTAATTGCACCGACCTGAAGTAAAGTCTTGCAGATAAATTCTTTTATGTGCAAACAGGGAAACTGAAGTGTCTCTTCAATTCCCTTTGATATATCCATACCGTCCAATGGGAAGGGTTCACAATCACAATGGGATGGAAACCACATCATTCATATGGCTGGGGTTACTTTTGTTTTTTAGTCTTGGTACTGTATTCCTATTTTAGATTATTCCATTGCAGCTTTCATTTGTTTCTCATCATTCTTTTTTTTTTTTGAAATCAAACTTTTAATCTTTTTTATTTTTCCCTCATTGCAGGGTAATCACACAGAGAGGAAATATAATATTAAATTATTCACAGTTTCATTTGACTCTCCTTTTTTCCCCCTTGGACATGGAAGTGACTGCCCATTCATTGATGGAAGACTGTTTCAGGGGAATCAAAAAGGGGGTTTCAAGGAATATAAAAAGAGGGCATGAGGTCCACATGTAGTTTTGGGCACAAGTTACCTGTTCATAACCTTAGATTATAGCCATCTGAAACATATGTTGTGTGAGTTGGTTTTCCATTAAGAACAATGCAAAAGAGCAATACAAACCCCTCCTCTGTATCACTGAGATCCTGAGTGATCCTCATATTTGGTTCTGCCTCCCCCTCTTCTCCCCATATTTATGGAATGGACGAATCATGTATAAAGCTAATCTTAAACTATTAACCAAGACTTATTATGGTTTTTGTGCTTCTTGTGAATTCTACTGCATCTTGTAAATGCCAAGTTGGCCACTGTTCTTCATTAGTCCATCAACTTGTGGCAGCCATTCCAAGCAAACTTTATAATAAATGGAATGACTATCTGCTAGATAAATTAAATTCTTTGTTTGAACTTGCTGTAATATTTGCATTCAATGTATTTATCTAGAAATGATTGAGGAGTGGTGGTTTTTTTTTTTTTTTTGGCATCAGATTGGATCCTATTGGCATCAATTTCCTTAAAATTACATTACTATTTACAAAGCATTACTTTATACCTTTCATTTCATTCTGATATTTGTTTATCTCTTGCGTGAACCTCCTATTTTTTTATGTATTGAAAAACTGTTTTTCTGGTTCTTCCCAGGCACTGTTTATTTTGTAAGGACAAAGGGGCATTGAACAAACGCTGGCACACAGGAGTGAATAATGTTGAACTACAGTTTATGAAACTCCTGGTTTCAGACTTACAACACAAAACTTAGACAATTTTCTTTGATTCTACCTTTCCCAACTCTTGCATTGGTAATATGCCCCCTCATGAAATCTTCTGAAGAACTTGAAAACTTACCATTTCTTGTCATTTTGCTTGAGCTCAATAAAAATATTATCCAGGTTGGGGGTTTTCTGCTGACAGAACAGCATGGCTACTATTTTTTTAAACATCTTCAATTGTTATATATAATGGGAAAAACTATGTTTTTCTGATCTCACAATCAAGTGTATATTTTGACTGTTAAAAAATATGGAGAATTCCTAGGTACTTCTTGAGTTTTGTTTGTTACTATTAGATACAGTTAATACAGCACTTATCCTATGCTTTGAAGAGCACACTTATAAAATGTAATAGCAAAACAATATTGTTGATAGTGCCTTGCTGAGTTTTCTTTCTCTATTTTGACACCATAAAAATATTTTGGATTTCAGTTCCAACAATCCAGGATCAAAAATATTTCATGTCTTCTTATACATTTCATTAAAGGTGTGAATAATTTCTGTAATATTGTGTCTTGGATATTTGATTTAATGTACTGACATTTATCATTTGACAGTATTTATAAATTTTGCAATGGAAGCACATAAACAAAGTGTAATCAAAGAGGTGCATGAAATTAAGGCTGCTCAGAATAACAGGTTGGATGACTTTGGACCAGTCATTCTCTCTCTCTCTCAGCCCAACCCACCTCAGAGGGTTGTTGTGGGAAAAATAGTAAGAGAAGATGTGTGGGGCATGTTTGCCACCTTGGGTTCATATTTCTAGATAATTCCATTGATTTCCCCATGTTTCTCATATTTATTTATATCCCGCTTTTATTATTTTTTTATAAACTTGTCAAGGCAGCAAACATATATTTTTCTTCACAAATAGGAAGATTTCACTAAATCTTACCTGAAATTCAGCAAGTTTATAGAATCTGCTAGAGCAGGAGTGTCAAATTTGTGGCCCACGGGCCAGATTCGTCACGTGCTGGCCACACCCATGTCCAGTTTAACGAAGGGGGAAAAAGTCATGATATATCATGTGATGGTGCTGTGATGACGTGAGTTTGATACCCCTGTGCTAGTGGTATCAAGAATTTTTGGGAGATTAGTTTGCTAGAGGACGTAGAGATCCCAGGTACTTTTTGGTACTCATTTGAAAGGAAGACAGTGCCTATAATTCTATAAAGTGCAAATGAGGAACCTATGGTCTTTCAGTTATGTATCATTTTAACTGTAATTTCAGTTAATTTGGCTAATGCTGGGGGATAGTGGAGCCCTCCAATATAGAATTTAGAAATATTTAAAAGACTAAAGATTCGCTACTATGCTGTATACATTTAGGATTCAACAGGACATATTTCTTAGAATAAGAAATTCTAAGTGGACTTCTGAAGCCACAAAGCCAGAGGTGGTGTTCAGTAGGTTCTGACCAGTTCTGGAGACCCGATAGTGGAAATTTTGAGTAGTTTGGAGAACCAGCAAATACCACCTCTGACTGGAGATTTTACAGTATCTTTCCCCTGCCACGCCCACCAAACCACACCCACAGAACCAGTAGTAAAAAATAAATAAATCCTACCACTGCACAAAGCCCATATTAATTGATATATTGCATAATATGAAAGGGAAATAACTAAAATCAACGATTTGCTTAGCACACTAAGAAAACTGCCACTTCAAACAATCACCAGTCTTGCTCTGAAAAAAGATCGTCGATTTTTCTGTCTTTAAACAAGCATTGCTAACAGATGCGTCTTGTTCTGACCCAGGCTTTGTCAAACTTAATACAACAAAAACTGAATTTTAAAGTAAAACCTTTTTAAATGCAATGCTGGGAATTACTTGCATTCCCAATCAAAACTCATTATACACAATTCCTTCAAATAAGAGCGTGCTTTTCAGTGCTGTAGAATGCTGCCAAGAAATAGAAGTCCAATAAAAGCTAGCAATAACCAACCCCAAAACCTAGAAAAAAAACAACCAGGGTACAGAACTTCACGAAGGACTCAGAGATTACTGAACTGCTTTGCTTCCTGCAAAGCTCTTCATCATTGAGGACTGATTTTTGTCCCTTATGGGAGGGGCAATCACCTCCCAGCCTTACTCCCGAGTCACCCCTTCTGCTTCAACTGCTCTCGCCTTCTAGCAGCTCTGTGTACACACGCACTGGGAACAGGCTCCCCAGGGTCCTCTGCTTCACTGCTGCCAGACTCCAAAAGCTCCAAAGGCAGCACCCCACTCTCAGATGGTCCTGGCCCCATCCCTGCATTGGATGTAGGATCCTCATCCAAGTCCTCGCCAAATTCCCTGACTGGTTCCCTTTCGTCTTCACTGTCTGATACCTCCGCCATCCACACCAGCTGCTGGTGAACCACCACACTTCTGTCACACATTATTTGACTCTGGATAATACAGTCAGAATCTTGGCCTCTCTCATAAATCTGTTTTGAAAAATATCAAGCCACCCATGCAGCTTGTATTTATCTAATCAAACACCATTCAAGCCTATGATCCTGCTGAGATTTAACAGAGAGACTGTAATCTCTGTGTACCTCATCTCAGATGAAAACTACCAAATTCAGTTGGCCTTTTTCCAGGTAAGTCTGTTTCACACTGCAGCCTTAGGCATGTGAGAGCAATCTGAAAAGCTTTTGATAAATTTCTGGGTATGCTATTCAGCTCTTCTATTCTTCAGGCAGTCTCTATGCTCAGAGCACCGGGACAATCTAATTTACAGCTATAGTTCACCTGAGAGTAGAGTATTGAGGTATTGATGTAGTTATATTTGATTATGTGCCACAAAGTGCATGTCAACATCCACCCATCATGCTATAGGTCATCCTTCTTCCCCTCTTGACTTCCATTCTTCTCAGCATTGCTATAATAATGTGTCCTAAATATGATAATGTGAACCCAATAATTTGTGCCTTAACTGAAATCTTTGGACTGATTTATTATGTTTATTTGTTTGTTTTCTTGTTAGAAATAGGGAGTTGCCATTGCTAAACCAGGCAGACAAACAATCAGGATTAAGTGTCTGCAAATCAGGGGTGAAATCAGGAGAGGTGATAGGGATGATTTCAATCAGTAAAAAGTCACCCCTGGTTGCTATTACTATTATACCAAATATCCCAAGCCACGCCCACAGAGCCAGTAGGGGAAAAAATTGAATTTCACCCCTGCTGCAAACACCAAATCACCACAACCATATGCCCTGTGCATTAGCAGCCACACTGCACTCCAACAGAAATGTTTTGAGAAAAGTACATACTTTAGTTTTATTAATACTGGGATTGCATTATTACTTATGAAAATGTATGGAATTTTTTCTCCCCCCCAAAGTGTTTTATCATTATGGCTATCTGCTTAAATTAATTGGTTCTAGCATTTATTGTTCAACAAGAGTAAAAAAATATTTTAACTAAAAATCAAGCATGTGTATTTTTGAATCAACACTTTTACTAATAATACATGGATTTTAAAAACTCAATTTTAGCCAAGGCAACACAAGAAATTTTAAAAATTTGGTGGTTGCAAAATTTAATTCTTATGAGTTTATTTTATCCACAGTCCCTCTAAATAAAGGTAAGCATCCCTGCATTTTCAGGTCTCAAACTTGTTTCTCTATTTTGAGTAAATTACCTCAGAGAAAACAAAATGTCCTTTGTGGATTAATAAAAGATGGTTCTGTGTTAAAAGTTGGATTATTACTTGAGTGATCTCCAAACCCAACATTTAAGAGATTTCCACTAGTTTCTTTAAAGCATAATCAAAAAGTAATTTCTTGAACAGACTTGCCTTTGCTCTGCACTTTATTGTGTAGGACTTGAAACTGTGCAGTTCTGTATAATTTAAGATTCATCACAGATACTATTCTTATTCATGCAAGGTCCAAAGCATGTTTTCCAGATCATTTTTGGAATGTACACAGTCTTAATAATTTTGTGATGATACTTTGGCATGAACAGAGACAAAGCATGCAAAAAAATAATCATCATGTTGGTTTCTTGCAGGCAAAAGTAAATGAAGTTTGCTAAATATGTGCCTTGCCAAGAAATAAGGCACAACACTAATGTTCTTAATGAAGTGCAAAGGAACAGCACAATATCTAACAGAACAGTCTGAAATTGCACATAATTCTTTCCTTCACCTCCCAAAGAATAATAAACGCTTTTGGAAGAAGACTGAAAATTCCAGGAAAGCAGGAAATCAAACAGACAGTTGGTATCATATATTTATTTGTTATTATTTGTTAAATAATGAATGCTTTTAAAGAAAAATTTAACTGTTCTAAAATTTGGGGGGGGGGAGTGTTTTCTCCCAATAGGGTTAAACAAATTTGAAATAATATAGGAAATCCTTTTAATATAAATTATAACAGTTATGGAGATTAGGGAAAAACAAAAGCATGACAACTGCAGAGAACACACAAGTTAGAGTGCAAATGGACAATAAGATTATTATAACAGTAAAGGAATTCACTTTCCTAGGCTTTAGGAACATGAAGTCCTTTACTCCATTGACCAAAGTGGTGACTACAGCCCAGAGGTGTTATTCAGCAGGTTCTGACCAGTTCTGGAGAACCGGTAGCGGACATTTTGAGTAGTTCGGAGAACCGGCAAATACCACCTCTGGCTGGAGATTTTACAGTATCCTTCCTCTGCCACATCCACCAAGCCGTGCCCACAGAACCGGTAATAAAATTTTTTGAATCCCACTACTGATACAGCCCTGAGAACAGAAAGTGTATAGCACTTGGAACAATTGCAGTGTCTGGCATAAATAACATCTGGAAGAGTAAAGACATCAGCCTCATAACCAAATGCAACTTAGTTAATGCAGCATTTTTTTCCAATTGTTACTTATGGATGCAAAACTTGGATTCTGAAAAAGGCAAATAGCAGAAAGATGGATGCAAACTGGGGTGCTAGAGGTGACTATTATGCATCCCATGGACCGCAAAAATAACAAACAAACATATTCTAGACCAAAACTCACCAAACACATCACCTGAAGCCAAGATCACCAACAGAGACTGTCATACTTTGGTCATGTTTTGAGAGCTGACTCACTCAAAAAATCAATCATGCTGGGAGTGATTAGAGGACAAAGGAGAAGGGCCACTCCACTGGCTGGACACTATAAAATATGACATTGAGATGACCATGGCAAATCTGAAGGAGACAGTGTAAGACAGAGGGGCATGGAGAGTCCTGTTCCATAGAGTGGCCGAGGGTCAAATAGGACTGAATGGCTGATGACGGTGACAATATGGTAGCTGATGTACAGCAAACTCTCACTGACCTAGCAAAAGTGTGAACTATGCTTTGAAACATCCTTAAATACTTCAGTGAAAACTGAAACTGATTATCCAAGGGTACAATGGAATTAAGATCTGAGGAAGATTTGATATGAAAAATGCATCCATGAGAAAACATTGAGTGAACAAAACTGAGCAGGACTGTGTACTACAGTCCACTACATGGCTCCCAACCTATGAGGGGGATTGGAATGTGACCCTCTCCCAGTCTTGGCCTACCTTACAAGGCTGTAACAATAACATAAGCAAATCTTTGTGTCATCTTAAGTTCCTCACATGGAAGACAGATACAACTGTAATAAGCTGAGAGAATAGAATGTACACATTTTTATTCTAAATGTTTTCTTTTTCCAGTTCTCTTTTCCACTACCTTTTACAAATAGGTGAGGAAGATACAGAGATTTTACTCCACACAAGCAAGACGGAAATTCTAGACAGTAACACTGGTTTTTGTTTGTTTGATATGTCAGTCAGTCAGCCAAGCAGCCAGCCTGTCACCAGCCAAGCCAACAGTCCAGGACATTTGTTTTATTTATTGCTTAGCAAGACAGGGTGCCAGGCTGATACCAGTGGCTGACTGAGTCAGCAACTGCCACAAATTACAGAATAGCTATGAGAGGGAACAAAGAAAAGTTCAGGATTTTGGCAACAGGAAAGCTGTCTCTCTATTTCCAATTTGGAAGGTGAAGCTAAACAGATGCAAAATTGTTCCTTTCTCTGCCTTCTCTTTTCAAGAGAGTATTCATATGGCACGAGCAAAATGCATTCAAGGCTCCTAAGGAAAGTAGTTAGTTATTCTGGTTACTTTATTTAGAACCTCCTCACATTTCTATGGAAATAGAGGAATTACTAGAAAGTGAAGAACTGAGCTTCTTGTTGGGTTAATCTATTTAACATGACCAAATGATGTGGACTGATAGATTGGCTGAAGTTTTGCTAAATGAAGAGATCAAAATTTTCGGAGATTCCAAAATTCAAATTGATAAGTCCTTGAAACCTACTAGATCAGACTACTTCTAAAGGTATAGGGAAAAAAGGAAATCTGTTCATTGATGTGGCAATACCTGAAGTTAGTCAGATTAATGAAATGTTTTTCAAGAGAGAAAATAACAAAATATTGAGATTTACAAATTATGGGGGGAAATCAGTACTAATACCTACTGAAATTTGAATTTTGGTGTACTGTCATATTTTAAACTATGTATCAAACTCCCTTAATTTTGGGAAAAAACTCCTATTTAGAACAGCTTACATTATATGGCATTACCGTCATAACTCGTAGGTCCTTGGCTGTGACCTGAATCATGTAGACAACACTGTAGTTAACACTAATGGACCCAGCCCATTAGATTGTGATATTCATTTAAGCATTTATAATAAGATGCATTTATACTCCCTTTTAATGCATTACATACATATCAATTAGCAGTTACATATACTGTAAAAATGGTTCAGATATTTTATAGGAGAATGTTTTCGACATGGATGTAACTAAGTGAAAGATGTGGAAGTGTAAAACCTCCAATTTATTCCTAGACACCATTCTTGTCTCTGTTTATTCTTTCTTAGCCCTCTCAATGCATTTCAGTCATCATCATGATTTCCATCCTTTTTCTACTCAGCAATTCTATTCATTCCATTGTAGAATCATATCCCAATGGCCAGCTGAGCATCTTAATGTAACATTTGCTCTCTGTGTTCATCCATAATTCACTCGTGCAATGGAAAATATATGCTGAAATTCATTCTGATGATCTACCCTTACATTATGCTAAAATGCCTCTTAGTCCCATTGCAATTGCATGACAATGTGCCTGAGTCTTGTCTGTTCCCCCTAGTAATTTTATGACTAACATTGAAAGAGGTAATGATAAGGGTTTAAATAAGCAGATGGAATTTTTTACTCAAAGGAGTCCTACAGGATGGTAAGCACAGGAAGCCAACCTGAATCCAAGGCAAGCATTGGGAGCCAGTATGAATCCAAGAAAGTTATCTATTCTTTCCCAGCACAAGACACAACTGATACAACTAAACAATGCTTTCTTTAAGGAAAGCAAGAATTAGACAGCATCTAAAGCACAAAACCTCAATGTTCTTATTCAAAGGTTTTTCACATGGAGAAGTCATTGTCCTCCTTTGATTCCCAAACAATGTGAAAAAGAAGCGAGGAAGGAAGGAAGGAAGGAAGGAAGGAAGGAAGGAAGGAAGGAAGG